AAGTTCAATTAAATAATTCAATCTAAATACCATTAAAAATAAATTATTTTACTTAAAAAGCAATATACATTAAATTGAATTATTTTTTTTTTAATTTTCATTAATTAAGGAACAATAGTTTATGTAGACAGATTTACGATTGATTTCAAAATCTCTGTTGGGTGATTTTGATAGATTATATAAAGCAATAATATCACTCGCCTAATGTTTCTCACGAAGAATGCGCATTCTTTTAATTTCGCTCTTTTATTATTATAAATTTTATTAAAAAATCGTAAAAATAATAAGTACGTGTTATCTTTTCCTCTTCAATTACTTGGGGTGCGGTTTTTGACTTTATCCGCCGTTTGACTTCTTTCTTTATTCTTCTTCCAAATAATTTTTCACTAACGCTGTCTCAGTTAGTGCACGATTTTTGAATTTAATTCAGTTTTGCATAATTACCGATTTTTTTCTTTTGAAACTGCTCCAAATTATATCAAGGTAGTTGAATTTTCTGACATGAATATCTGCTTTTAATGAAGGTGCACCTATCGAAAGTTTTGATTTTTCCATTTTTTTCTGCTTTTTCGAACTTTTGTCGTTTTCCTAGACAGTCTTTTGACAACTAATTGTCATCTCACAGTACAAAAATTTCTAAAAAAAATTTGTTTCAAAATGTTTTTTTTTCATATTGTGTAGCATACTTAAAGGGCTCTAAACAGATTCTGAATAGCTCGGGAGGTTCAAAAGAGAAATTTGCCCTAAAGAATTTTTATAATATGTATGTAATGTAAGGTGGAAGTGTAGTGTAGTGTAATGCGTAAACTTACTTCGCCAGCCGGTAACAAACAAAGCGATTTAGTTAATAAACATTTTAATATAAGGAATAATCAATATGAATAGTTAAAATAATGGCATTTGTGTTTAAGACAAAAAAGAAATATATGAATTAAAATAGGAAATAACTAATTTAATTAATAATAATTCAACTCACCTTTTTAAAGAGTCGTCGAATGTACATTCGTGTTACGTATTAAAAAGGCATTCTAATAATTTTAAAAGAAAATAAAATAATAAAACAGATTAAAAGACTAGTAAGAATAAAATCAAAATTAGGCCTTAGACAGTCAGAATCATTCATTTAACAAACTGCATCGCGAGAGAGACGGTACATCTTTGTCGCCACAACATATATTGCTAATTGAGTTTTGTAGACTGGGAGATAATAAACAGTCAAATATGAGGAGGAATAAAGTCAGAGTCTGTGGCGTGGTTCTTTGAGTGTGATGAACTACACAGAGGGAGGTAACGATGTTTGCTTTCCCAAGCTGCAATGTTTCACTTTTACAGATAAATCTTTTTTTTTCTGAATATAGTTCACTTTTTGGCACAGCTTTCTTTTTCTGCTTTCGTCAACTTTCTTCTGTATCTTCTTCTCCTAGTTCTTTAACGAATTTTCTTAAAGAATCTTAAATTTCACAAGCTCTCTTTTATAACAAATTTCTTGTTCACTTATTTAGAAATTATTCGTTTGTTTACTTTCGCCAGATCGCGATTTAACGAGAAAAATAATACTAAATTTCTTAAAAACTTTCCATTTCTATGTAAGAAACTTTGAACAAATTTTTGTTTGAACTCCGAGGCGTTATCTTTCACCAAAAAAAAATTGAGTTTTTTTCTTTTTTTTCCGAAAAATTGACATATCACAGCCACACTCAAAAAAAACTCACTTTCCCAAAAAAAATCTTTTTTTCTTTTTTCCTTCCTTCAAAAAAGAAAAAAAAGGCATCGCCTATTTATTTTTCTACAATTGCACTTAACTAAAAGGTACACGAATTTTTTTGTGAGACTTCTCCCCTCACGTCTTAACACACTAATACAATAGGGAGTAATACATGGCATCCTTGGAGAAGTCGAAAGCAAAGAAAAAGGTGATTGTTGCTACACGAATTTAATCAAAAACGCGAAACAGTTCTTTACAATTATAATTTTGCCAGATTTTGCCCAGCACGTGTTTTCTTGAAGCCTGGTGTTATCTGTCCATTTCAATGTCGAAGATTGCAATTCTGCTTTCAAATGAAGCACTCTTCGTCCAGGAGAGTGGACGATGCTCTTCATCTAAAAAAGCAAACATATTAGTTGTTTTACCCATACTACCATATATACAAATTGGTATAATGCGGAACATTTGCGGCACAAATCTTGCGGAGAAGAGGAATGAATGAGCTAGTCCACCCGACTATACCATAGTCAGTTGGCAAGTGTGGTTCGCTGTGTCTATCTAATTAAAAAGACATCCTAAATAAGCAGTGTGACTAAGTTAAACAAAAGTTAAGCCAATCCTGTAAATTAATTGTCAATTTTCTTATAACGTCGTTGTTATGGTACTTATTGTGCAATAATTCAGCTATTGCTGCTTATTCCCTATTATTGACTGGTTTCCCAGCCTCAGCTATGAATCTTCTCACCACCCACGACTCGTTAACTAATGTCATATCATTATCAGACGTTTCCATTGAACCATCGACCGTCGACCTAACTATGCGCCATCCACGGACCACAGTGCACTACTGATGCAATATAATCAAATTACTCACAATAGTGCACTTTAAAAATGAACTTGACAATAAATATATACATTTACAATTATTTGTAAAGTGAATGGGTAATGAAACGAAAAAACCCACTATTCCGATTGAACAAATTACCTTTCCAAACTATGCAACTAAGCAATTTGTCTTCTTCTACGACAGGCGGATTGGTTCCTTCGTTTATATTACGTTATTTGGCAATGGAGCAACATCGAGACCGGCGGAAAAGGCGTCTTGTGTGATGTAGAAAAGCTCGTGCGGACGTTTTAAATTTTCTTATGTTACCGGAAAAAAAATAATGCATATCGCTATTGTGACGCGTTGTTCTACAACAAACGATGATTAAAATATTCCTAATATTTATTGAAGTGATTGGATACGTACGGAACCCATCTTTATTTTTGTAAGCCTGCACAATATGAAGAATGTTTTCTAAACGGGCATATCTTCTTATAAGAAATAAGTCCGCTGATTTTATGAAAATTAAACGGAGGCTTTTATTTATAAAATACAATACAAGGATTGATTTGCAATGCATTTTAAAGCATTATAAATTCTTTATAGGTAAATGTTAATGAATTAATATGTTATAAAAAATAAAAAGTTCAAATGTGTTTTTTTTCCATTATGTATCAATATCGTTTCTTTTTATTTATTTTGAAAAATAAACGGAAATAGGGGGCAAATTTAATATTCTATAAACAATAAAGATAAATAAACACAAAATTATATAGATATCAATTAAAGCCACCTCTATTAAATAAATCAAAGAGAGAAAGGAAGAGGGCAAGGAAACAAATTAATATATATGAATAATAAGAGAATATTGGTTTGCCCATTTAAAAAAAAAAAAACGTGAAATGAAATAAATGTAATTTTCGATGAATGCAATTAAAGGGAACAAATGTTAGCACGCAGTTAAACGTTTAACGTTAATACCGTCAAAGATAAACACTTTTTGGAATCAGCTAAAAATGGAACTCCCATTTTAATAGCCTTTCTAATTGCAATCAATTGCTAGTCGTGGAATGATTCCAGAAATTTAATGTTTACTGCCTCAATTTTCATTTTATGCTCTCAAAACTTAAGCCTAAAACGTTGTTATGTGCACACAACATGAAATACACGGATATATGGAATAGCTTACCACCGCTCCATTTATTCCCGTTGACTTTTCTATTAACGAAATCTCCTTCGCTTAGCGTAGGCCTTTGAAAATAAGTATGAGTTTTATCAACACAGCAAATGACTTCAATATACGTTTTAATCATCGTTTATTTTATAACAATGGCATAACACAAATTACTTACCACCTAAAACGTCGAATTTCCGATAAAACCACAACTTCATCGTGAAAATAACGCTCCAAAGATTTACTTTCATTTCTTTTACAATTTCTATGTAAAAACCGAAAACGTACATTGTCCAATCCTCAAATAAAAATCACTACCGGCTATCTTTAGGCCCCAATCACTCCAAAATCATTGCTAAACATGTAAATCGGCACGACTTCGTCGAATGACCGCTCGTGCCAAATTTTCGTAAACTATAGCTAAAAGGCACGTTTAAAGCGCGAAACTTCTGTAGAAATCTAGATGTAACAAGTGATACAAATACATATATATATATAAGCTGCCCACAAATATGAAAAACTATGTACTTGCAAGCTACGTAAATGGATTCGATGTGTCTCGCTTATGCTTTCTACGGTTTATAAGGATCGGTTTCCGCAAATCCAGATCCTTTTATTGCGCCAAATATCACAATAAGAGCACAAAAATTGTTCTGCCCGAAATTTATATGTAAGATCAACATTACTTAATTTTTTAATAATATCATCTTAGTAGTAGTAAGAACGGTGGATTTTTAAAATTGTTTTACACCGATATATGAAAAGATTGATTGATTGATTGAGCATTGGCCGAGTGAGAGTATTAACTAAACAGTTCGAGTAGAAACCACAAAAAAAAATATACTTAATTATACTTACCTTTCACAAATTTAAAATTTTATGTTTTAGTTTAGCCGTTTGTAAGTGATCAATTTTATTTATTTGTGGTTTCTCTTTAAACCACTACTAACTCTGCAAAACCTACATTAATACAAGAAAGACTTGTGCCGTTGACAGATAGGAAAAAGCGTGTTTCTTGTGTGCAGATATAATCAAAAGAAAAACGGGAATTAATGACAAACGGTTGCAAACGATAGCATACGTAATTCACTCGGAAAACATGAGAGACAATAAAATTTTTCATACACAATTACCTTCCACCTTTTGCTGTCAACGACCCGACACCCTTCTAGAGATGGATTATTATAAAAAAAAATATTATATGCGGCATCCACCTAGTTGCGCCTTATAATAAATCCAGTTTGTAATAACATAAATTTTAAACATGGCAATGCTGTAACTGATCATTAAACCGCTAACCATCGACAGTCAAAATATTTTCTTCCGTACATTTTTTTCTTTCCACTCATTTCAAGCAAAAAGCAGGCATCAAAAAAGTATGAAAAACAGTATTTGATTTGAACAAAGATTGTAAAAATGAATTTATTTCCATCGAAAAAAACCATTCACATGGAAGTACGTGTAAAACCTAGTATTGGGTGAGATTTTCTCTAAATGATTTTTAAAGCAAAAACAAGTAATATATCGGTTTTTTCAGAAGATTATCAGAAATGGAAGCTCCTCTAACGGAGTCATTAAAGAGATATCTTACATTCGATCAACTGCCTTTTAATAAAACAGTAAAATTTGTCTTTGAAGGTGCCGACTATGATATTTTACAACATGTTGACTCGGTCTTCATGGAAAGTGCCAACGAGACGGTGGGCAATACCATAACAGACTTAAACACCTTTAGTATTTTAATTTTTGCAGGATTTCGATGTTGACAACGTAGTATTTCACTTGTTCACCCTACAACGTAGGCCCATGGAATTGGAAATATTTGACTCAGAAGCTGATGGGGACAGCGAATCTATACCGAGCTCTAATCATTGGCTTTTACCCTCTCCGCAATTTGTGGGCTTATGGGAGAATTTACTCTTTGAGGCTGGTTTAAAGGAAAGGCTCTTCAAATTTGCTTTATCTGCTCTGGCCTTAGCTCAACATCAGGTGGATCCTAATGTGATAATTTGCAATCGTTTGCTACTGTTGCATGGACCTCCAGGGACTGGTAAAACAAGTCTATGCAAAGCTCTGGCTCAAAAACTATCCATTTATACACGTACTGCGTTCCATTGCACTCATCTTATTGAGATAAATTCTCACTCATTGTTTTCGAAATGGTTTTCTGAAAGCGGTAAATTGGTAATGCGTTTATTCGCTAAGATCCATGAAATTATTCAAGATTCGCAAAATCTGGTCTGCGTTCTTATCGACGAAGTAGAGTCGTTGGCTTATTCCCGCAATTGTATGTCCAGCCAGGAACCTAAAGATGCCATGCGAGTCGTTAATGCCTTGCTAACGCAATTAGATAGCATTAAAGGAAAAGCAAATGTATTAGTTCTGGCTACCTCTAACTTAGCAGAGACTATAGACTTAGCTTTCTTAGATCGTGCCGACATTAAACAATATATTGGCTTACCTAACGAATTCGCTATAAGAAAGATTTATGAATCGATGATATATGAATTAAAACGTGTTGAAATATTGGATGGAGAACAAGGTGGAATCTTTGAAGATCAATTATTGCACGAATTAATTACTTTTAGTCAGGGTATGAGTGGTCGTTCGCTAAGAAAATTGCCATTTTTAGCACTTACATTCTACGAGGAAGAGGACAACTGTCCTAACCAACGTAAAATACGCCTAGAGGTATTTATTCGCTATCTATTGCAAGCAATGAAAAAGCAAAAAGAAGACCACCAATTAATGGAATTTGACAAAGAATAGTTCAATGCGTTTAATACATTTTTCGCCTTTAATAAATATGGAACCAATTATTGAATTTCCAATCCTCTCATTGATTATTTAATTGTATGAACGGCCGTTTTGGCGGAATATGCTTACGTACAGATAACGACCATGATGACAATGAATTACTTGTCTACAGCTTTAAGCAGTTAGTTACGGCGCTTATATTGTTTAAAATATATTCAAATAGAGGTAGTGATTTTTATTGATAAACCTTTGTGCTAATGGAAATAGAAGAAATTAATTTCGTTGTTTTCTTCAAAATGCAAATTATAACCGTAATCGTGTCAATGGCCTTTTAGCGACGCATCTCATCACTGGCAGTGTTATCGATCAAATTTGCAAAACGCACCGCACGTGCCGTGCTTTCCATTAGCTGTTTGATGCATTTTGCGGATTCCGCATTTTTGAAACATGTGTAAGATAGCTTTATACGAGGTTAAGAAATAAATAAATAATTGCTAACTTGAAATTCTTAACATTAGTATTAGGCGCTAATTTGTTTTTGTAATGTGGAAGCCACGTTATCAGGCCAAGAAAGCCTTACGTTGGTTCATTGCATTAGGATAATCGATTATGACGTAAAAACTGACCAGATTACAACATAAGCAACCGTTCTATATAAAACTGTTTAAGCATAAATTGATACGATTTTTCCGTATAACCTACGTTTGAAGATTTCTTCAATAGATGCAAATGGATTTGCGTTTAGAGTGTTATAAACCCCGGGATTGCAATTGCCTGGCTAAAATAAATAGAACAGAATATTTGTTACAAACAACAACAAACATGGTAGCTAGATTTCCGCAGATTTTGTGGTTCAATTACTATTAATGAACGGTCACGATTACTTGTCATTAAAACATTGAATAAACGACAGGTAGTAAATACAAAACTATGTTTATATTGACATTATTGCAGACTACACAAGTGAAGGTATAAGGAAAGGTAATTTACTTTTATTTATTAAAATTGTTCTTAAGCAGGTCGAATACGGAGAATGCCTATGAAAACAGTTAGTTCATAAATTTGAATCTATATTCACATATAGGTAACAAAACGTGACTTTCCAAACAGTACCAGACAACGCAAATAACACTAAATATTTATGAACGGTTTTAATTCTAAGTCAATTAGATGGATAGTCACATATCTGAAAGCCAGCTTTCGCTTTTCAGCTAGTTTTGCTTCACGTATGCGACAATATTCAGCAATGCTTGATGACTTTCCTTTGTTGCTCGCTTATACACACACCTATTAAATACACCCTCATATCTGTCAAATTACGTGAAAACCAAATGAAGTGAAACATAATGTTTGCGTATAACGCAAAATCAGTTAAACACATGTATAAGTGGTTATAAAAAAGTGGAAAATACAATTAAACGAAAAAAAAATGTTTTCGGGTGAATATATTACTTTCTTTAAATGGAAATGTAAATGTTGGCACTCATTATTTATATTTTAGTAATTAATAGCAAAAACAGTGCACCTTGAAAGCCAATTAATAGTAATATATGTATGGGTTTCGACTTTGTTTTGGAAAAATAAGAAGAAATTTGACGTATGTTTGTTCACAAACAAACAACATGATGCATTATGTACTACATTTCCAGATCCTAAAGAAAACTTTGAACTCTGAAGTTGGGCTTTGAATTTCCCATATTTTAGGTTTATTTTACATATTTATACATTAACATGCAAATTTATCTACAACGAATGTATACTGTTTTAAAACAACTTGCAAATTTAATGTTATGTTATAAAAATAAAATCATCTTAAAGCGTCGTCAAAATAAGTTGTAAGAGCTGCAGAGGTTAAATCCCGATTTCCTGATTTTCCACTTTATAGTGCACACATGTGTTGAATCATACCTGCTTTGCGCTCTTCCATTAAAGCACTCCATTAATCTTAAAAAATGAGTAGGTTTAGTGTATATACGCCAAAATATTAAAGAATATGTAAATTAACTCACAACCATTCCATTCACGCTATGCTCGCTTTTTCGTTTTATGACATGTTCTCTGTCCCGTGCTCGTTTCCCAAAAAAAATTTAAATTACAAATCCAATAATGCAATAACAATTACGTCCAAGAATGATCATGTAATTGCAATATTGAACTTATATGATCATTCTTCTCAAAAGGAAAGTGTGGTATTATCGCTCCACCATAATTTATTTATTTATTGTTTACCCTCACGCATTATTTTTGTATTCTAAACCATTATTATAACAGTAGCATAAGCATTCTTCCCATCTTACTAGCATAAGCGTTTACTCGCATTTAACAGTTTGTCAACATTAGCATTTTAAATTTATTTTACAGTGTATGAATCAGGTAAATAATAAAAAAAAATACTTTCGATTCAACAATCAAAACAATTTTAGTGTTGTCCTCTTAAAGCACAGCCTGGTAGTCCGCACTCACGAATCCAAATTTGCGCTTTTTGTGAATGGGTAAGTTTTAAGATATCGAAAGCCGAAAAACATAGAAATATTCTTTTCATTTTGTTGAACACTGCGTATAATTCTTTATATTATATGGGTATAATTCAACATCTAGGATCGTAGAATTCGACGACTTTACGAAACGTTTTGCAAGGAAATTTTATAAATCAAATGGTTCAGACGCGTTAAAATTGCCATAGTTCATGTGAACTGGAATGGTGGCAGATTTCCTTTTGGAATCCGAAAATCTGTAAAAGTACTTCCGATTAATTTTAAAGTTTTCTACCAACTTTTGAAGGTAGTCCATGTATCACTGTTTGTTCAACATTAAAAACTGGTATACGCCGAAAAATGAACGCACAGAGTGCCTTTGTACTGCTTTAATCGCCTATTTCTCTTGTTTGTAATCATTTTTTACTTCTTCGTGAACCAGGGAGGTATTAAGACTGAAGAGTGGACTAGAGAGCAGCAAGATATTACGCAACTTCTTATAAAACATGTCAGTGCATCAGTTCACACTTGATTTGCGCAAACTCCAATCTAATCCAGATAACAACTAGGTTTCCTAGGTTTTTGCTACCGGCTCATTTACGTGTAAGACTATGTCCTTAGTCTGTCTAATCGGTGACTACATTAGCATATTCGACTGCCGAATTTTTCACATGAGTTCTAGCTTTAGGGATGAATTCTTTCACCAAGGCATCCTTCGGCCAAACCGATTTGGTCAGGATGGAACTAAGATACTAAGAAAGTTGCTAACGTTCTGAAAGAGACAATATGACTTACCTTTCGCTTGAATGTCACTGAACAACTCAAAAAGGAACACGATCGTGCGCGGCTTGTAACGCTGGCGACTCATCGTACTTGCTAGAATCGTATTTATGCGAATGTATTTAGCCAAGCAAGTATTCATAAGAGTATGTGCATAATAATAATATGAAGGTAGGTAAACTACGATTTATAGGAAATAGTGGATGGCTCGAGCCTATATTGCGGCTACACAAACGACGAAATCAAAGACCATGTCAGACATCCTAAAATAAGTTATCGATTCATCTACGTACGATAAAAAAGCAACTCGTAAGGCGAAGAAAACAGTTGTTTGACAATGGCAATATGGCAAAAGATCAACAATTCCTAATTGTGTTTATTCAGTTCTCGAATTCATGGGTGTGCATCCAAAATAAAAGACAATATATTTGTGTATAAATGAATCCAAAATTTATTCAAATGAAAATAATCATATATTCTTATAATCAACTAAACTAGCGTTGAAATAGTTTTGAGGCGATATCTCAAAGATATAAAATTAATTAATATTACCAGCTGAAATGATAAAAAAGAATTATCAGTTTCAATCAGTTAATTAAAAACTATCATAGTTCATTAAAATGTGCCCTACGTTGGGCGTCACTTTTTTGTAACATTCGGTGTCTACATGTCCTCAAGGTATGTCCATGTATGGCGCTACGGACTTGGCTGTTTTTAGGTCCACTTTAAAGTGTCTTTTAAAAAGTCTGCCGAGAGGGCCGTAACTGTCATTGTTGAGCTAGCTAGTTCGGCAGGTATGGGCAGTTTCAAATTTTTGTCTCAGGGACACACCATAGGCGGTTACACCTAAAAGAAATGCGCGTATTTTCCTTGTATGAATAGACGGACGGATGAAACCTACTCACCGAACGTGCAGATCGCAAGCCCAATTCTATACCTTACTCTACTTATGCTCTCCTTCTGTCCATGATTTGTAATGGCAGACTGCGAAGTTGAGTCTGACAACCATTAAGCAACTTTCTTCTCATAAAAAAATTTGATTTATATAACAGTATCCCAAAGATAAACAATCTTTTCATTCTATTAATTATCTGAAAAGAAACGAAAAAACAATGTAGAGTAATTGACTACATGGAATTAATAAAAATGTGGACATATTCATCTAATGTAATAGTCCTTACATGAAATATACATATATAATTAAAAGTAATACGAAAAACAATATGTAATATAAACAATTGAAGTATATAAAGTATTTTGTAAATCTGTTTGCTGAGACTAACCGCTATATACTTCTAAGTGCACGACTGTTGTTGATGATGATGTTGACAATGATGACTATACTGACGTTACCGTTATGGAGATAAATAACGTTATTGTATGCGGGAAAGATATTCCCCTTTTACATATTTCCATTCTATAGCTTATTACAAGTGTTGAAAGTTTCCATAAGGACTTGGGAATGTTTCCTCTTATAGCAATATTGCAAACACGAGTCGATATATGTTAAAATTAATATTCAGTTAAAAATTCTTTTAGTCAGTTGACTTATTATTATTATTTTAATTTTAGACTAATGAATTGAATTCTTAGACTAAAAAAAGAGACATTGAGCACTAGCAACACAGGCTATCGGCTCTCAGTTGACTTAACTTTTATATATTCAAATACTTTTTTTTTCTATATCCATTTGGTCGTTTAAACTTATTGCCCCAATTATCGAGCACATTTCTGCCTTTATAATACTTTGCAACATCATTCGAGAATTCTGATTTGCCATTTCAATGGTTTACCAAGCGACTTTGAGTAAAATTCCTTCTAAATACGACTACGCAATAAGTTACTGGACGTGAACGCAATTTTAAGTGGCAGCATATCGGATTTAGTCTTTCCTAATATCCTCGATAGTCTTTGCTAAAACAGATCGATTTACTCGTTCGCTCGCATTAGCTTGCGGAATAAAAGGCAGTGAAGTCGTGAAGATAATGTATATATAATACATATATAATTCTTTAACATGACCGTCAGCCGACTGTAATATTCTTGCTTGTTTTCTTTTGAATTTGGGTTTGGTCTTTATTCACGAAATTGTCCTATCCATTTAATCAAAGAAAACTAATTCTTTTTTTCTATTGCTAATCTGTTTAGTGAATACATTCAAAATTTTTTCAAATCAACCACAAAGAGAAGATAGCACTATGCAAGTGTACATGTCTATAGAATTCAAGCATATTTTTTCTTCTCTTTTGTCTTACTATTACGTGAACACTTTGTATATGCCTAGAATTCACCGTCCCTCATTATCCCACCAAAAAAAACAGATCACCAAGAGGATTGATGCAAGGAACGTGCCGCAATTATCTCATTATAATAGTACAATATTTAATATTTCGTGTTCATCAGGATTCACGTTGTAGACAATTTATAGGTACAGATGAGAAAGAAACACTGCGTGCAGTAATTAACTCAGGTACGATCACGATGTTAGACACATGTTTTTCCAGAAAAGCAACAATAATTTGGACATTAAGCTTTTTGATAGGTTCGGGAAACTGAAGTTTCGACAAATGATCGAGATCAATAATAACATCAATATAACGGGAAAACGATTTACGAAAACGGCTAAGGACGTAATAAATCGAAATCTAATTTTTGAAAAAGTCGAAAGGAAATTGTTGTTTGGCCCATACGAAGTATAAGAATTTGGCTCCGTACTTTCACGTGCTTACAGACACCATAGGTAGAAACAAACTCTGTAATTTGTTTAACCATTTTTCGCCAATACAAAAATGTTTCTAAGTGATAAATGGTTTTGGCTATGCCTTCATGAGCGCTCATGAGCAGGTCTAATTAAGTCAT